TGATAACAATATGCTGTGCGAATTTTTCGTACGGGCCTACTAGTTATAAATAATAACTCATTACAAAGAAGATGAAATGCTGAACATTTCTCTCATTTACAATATGCAGGTCCGATTTATAGTTTCTGAGATGTTTTAATCCACATGTTCAACAAAACTCTTTATCTGTTGGTTTTGAACACCATTTTTTCCCTTTTCAACTCTCTAACACAGCGTCGCGTTAACATACAATTTTGAATTATAGCTCATTATAGAAAACTGCTGAACATTTCCCTCACATACAGTAACAAAGTCCGATATTTAGTTTCTGAGATATTTCAATCCATTTGCAAAAGTACTTCAATTAGTCGACTCAAGCCGACTTTACCTGAATGAGCGTTAAACACCCGAGTCTGAAGGCTCAGATTCATTCACTGCCCTCCTCCCCAAAAAAATGCGCTTAAAAAAGTTTGCGCTTCAAAAAAGTATAGTTATATTTAAACATTTATAGGATGATGAAAAAATATTTCTGCGTCGTGAACAATCAATTATTGTAATATACATTATACGATTCTATTATAACTCGTTCATTCAAACCGGATATTTAGTCACATTTTGAAAATTCCGGGTGAAACTATAGTTCCGTTTTGAAAAACAATTGGCGGAAATATCAGTTTGGGTATGTTGTAATGGCATCCTATTCATTTTATCGTAGATAGGAAGTTTGAATTTACTCATTTTTAATAATGAAAAAAAGACTGTTATCCATTACTTTTTAGAAATACCTTAAACTATTTAGCCCGAGTGAATAATTCGCATTTAATTTATAAATTGGCCAATAAACAAATCACTATATAATATGGAGATAAGAGAAATCGAACTAATTATCTTCTAAATCAATCCATCAACTTACAATTTTGGAATTTTGAAATCTCGCATTTTTTAAAATGATTTTTATTAAAGTTGTAGTAGGCATTTAAGGATCGAAATTTGGATTTGTCACGCACCAATGAAATTCCCTTTGTTAGATAAAAATTCGTTAATTCTATATCAAGCTCAATGATTGAGCCATAAGTTTGAAGATTATATTCTGCATCAGGTGCAAAAAATAACCACATACCCGAAAACATAAAAATAGATAATATATATGAACTATTTTAGAATCTGTTAATTTCCTTCAGGAGAAAATTTACATTTTCTATAAAAGTATTTTTTTCATGTTGAAGACAAATTGCAAGAAATGAGAGCAGCAAAATAAATGTATAGCATACTGTTAGAGAGCTAAAAATTTTTCTTTAAATCATATTCTTATAGTACGAAATGTTTGATTTTAATATTGAATGAATAAAAAACTTGAAAATATGTTTTAGCATTCCAAAACAAAAATACATCGTGCTATTTTTTTTTCCCTTCATATCTTTATGCATACTTGTCATAAGATTGGCAATAAACAGATGTGTTGTTATTGTTAAGAAAATTGGCGTTTTAGGCATGAGGAAGAACAATACCCAGAAGCACCTCTTTCTGTTCTTGGTTTACTCCATTAATTCCGAAAAGGTGATCTCTTATCAAGCTCCTCTACAATCCCTCCTGATGAGTATGTCATCTACGACCAAGTCGTTGTTAATTTAATTGTGATGTCCATGTAGTTCAAGATAAAATCGGGAGTACATAATACGGATGTGTAGGTCAATAGTTGGTTGCATTAGGTCGCTATGTAAAGTTTTGTTGTTTACGTACCAAGGAGCTGCTGTTTTTAGTCTAGAAATTTTGGTTGAAATTATTGTAAGTGCATGTGGTGATTTAGTGGTCATAGTGTAATAAGTCCAGAATTATTTATACCTTATTTTGGTTACAAATTGGCAACAAGAATAATTATAAATACATAATAATATAAACTGGCAATAAGGCGTACGTAAAAACGTAGATTTTTAAAAATTTGTCCGAATTGAGGTTTCGTTCCGTTTGTTTTAGGTAGATAAAAAAATAAAAATACAATAATATATACTGGGGGCACCCCTCTATTATATATATATATATATATATATATATATATATATATATATATATATATTTTAATTAATCGATAGCTTAGATTATATATATGCTTATACAGAGTGTTCGGTAAGCAGAGGAAAATATTTAAAAGGTCGATAGTAGACATCAAGATCTACAAAAAAGTTCATATAAACAATAGCCAAATTCCCAGCAGAAAAGTAGAAAATTTAAAATTTGGGTTTTTTAAGCGAGTTACGTTTTTTGTGGAATAGAAAGCGGTAACATAAAAAATATTTAACTTAAGTAGCTAAAAATTGCTCCATAGTAAAGTAGACAAAATCAATTTTAATCGAAAGTAGAGTTTGTCGTTGTTAACAGTATTTAAAGAGGATAATTGGGTGGACAAATACAGCTAAGTGTCGTTAGCAAAAAAAGTCATACATTATTTGTGATTTTTTTTATCAGCCTTTAACTAAATTTACTCCACTTTTTCAGAAACTTCCACGTTTATTAAGCTTTAAGCAAATATTAATTAAGTTGAGTTTTATTAGAAAAAAATTTGAGATTCACTTCAAGATATGTAAAGAAATGATGTCACCTGAAAGTAGTCCTGTTTTCAGCAAACATTACTACAATTAACTATTTCAAAGCTTTTATTTATTGTTTTTCCGTGATATGAGATGTATTGTAATAAATATAATTGCCTAAAAACACATTTTATTTATAGAAATAAAAATGATAATTTTTCAAATTTTTTTTATGTAAGATGGTCAGAAATTGATGTGTATTTATAAGTGAAAAACTTAATATTTACGGTTTCATGAAAATACTTCAAGCAATGAGCAGGTTTCTTTATTTTGAACGTAAATTTTAGTGAGAAACATTTTTTAATTTTTCACAATATAGTGTGTCACTGATAAATACTTATCAATTACTATGGCGGAGATGTGGGAGAAAAACTGACCCCATATAACGGTAAAACAATAAATTAAAGCTTTAAAACAGTTAATTGTAGTCATTTTTGCTAAAAACAATGTTACTTTTAGGTATCTTGATATAAGATCACGTTACTTATTTACACAACTTGAGGTGAATCTCAAAAGTTTTCCAAAACCTAAACCTCAACTTAATTAATATGGACTTAAAGCATATTAAACGAGGAATTTTTTGAAAAAGTGGGGTGAATTTAGTACAGTTAAAGGTTGATGAAGGTACAGTTAAAAAATTCAAATAATTTTAATAATAATTTTTTTTAATGTAACTTAGCTGTATTTGTCCGCTCTTCAAATAGTTTTAACAATCACAAATTCTACTTTCTTTGAAAATAAATTTTATCTGGTTTACTATGGAGTAACGAACGCATCAATTTCTATGACAGAAATCTGAGTGGAAAAGACAATATCTGACCAACTTACATGAAAAATTTTTATTTCTATAAATAATTTTTTTTTTAGGCAATTATATTTATTACAATAACTCCCTTAACACGGGAAAACAATAAATAAAAGCTTTGAAACAGTTAATTGCTGTAGTCATTTTTGTTGAAAACAGAGGTAAATTTAGTATAGTTAAATGATGATAAAAAAAATCGAATATAACTATTAAAAAAGTCAAACAGATAAATATTAGTTGATTTATTTATACAGCAGGAAACAGAAAATTTATTTTCTTTTTATTGGTCTATATTCGTTTTTGTGATTATTACAACTACTAAATGCAAGTTTAAAAAAATTATATATATATATATATATATATATATATATATATATATAACAATTGTTGTACCAATAATTATTTATATTTCAGTCAACTACAGTGCATCTTATTTTTATTTTTTTCAATTAATTAATTGTTTTTCCTCTCTTTGTTTGAGCTTATAATATTTTAGATTTTCCTATAAAAATTAAATTATACTGCATTGTTTGTTCGATTTCAAACGTTACTAGTATTACGCTTACTTGCGTTACTGAGATTTCGTGTAGTTTTCAGTAAATTTAAATTAAATTTTACTAATTTATCTGTTTGTAAAAAAAAGTCTTATTTGTGATTGTATTGGTTCTATTAAATTTCAACCATCTCGTCGTGGTCTCGATTTCTTACTTGAATATCAAACTTCTGTTAACTTCATGATATTTTGTATATTTCAATTTAGGTTTTTGTTATCACTAAAGTAAAATATTGGTCTCATTAATTCCGAACAAACAAAAACTTGAATCTTTCCAATGGATTTTTTGTTCCATCTATTTTACGAGTGAAAATTCTCTGGTAGTTTTAGGTGACTGTATATAAAACCATATCATTTCTTTACACAGCTTGAAGTGAATCTCAAATTTTTTTCTAAGAAATCTGAACTTAATTTATATGTACTTAAAGCTTATCAAACGAGGAAGTTTTTGAAAAAGTGGGGTAAATTTAGTACAGTTGAAGGATAAAAAAAATAAGAAAAATCACAAATATATTTTTTTTTTTAATGAGACTTAGCTGTATTTGTTTATACTCGTCTTACATTAGTTTTAACAATGACGAACTCTACTTTCTTTGAAAGTTAATTTTATCTAGTTTACTATGGAGTAGTTTTTTTATTACTTTAATCAAATATTTTTTATGTTATCGTTTCCTATTCAACAAAAAACATGACTCGCTAAAAAAAAAACACAAATTTTAAATTTCCTACTTTACTGCTGGAAGTTGGGCTATAGTTCATATGAACTTTTTTGTAGATATTGATGAATACCATCAACCTTTCAAATATGTTTCTCTACTTACGGGACACTGTGTATATTTTCTTCAATTCAGGTCTTCAGCTCACCGATGTTCGTCCTAGTTTCCTCGGCGTAATTGATCCCTACGTAAATGAGGCGATCTTCGTCCGAGGAAGACGAGAGGCGTCCACTCAATTTGCCCAGCCCACTCAAATCCTCGCCACTCATAGGTGAGTAGTAAGGGGGGGGGAGGCGTGACGTCGGCAGGTGGAGAAAGTTGGATCCAGTCTCCGTGACCGACGAGTGTTATATAGGAGCCCACTGCGAGCTGTCTCTGTATCCTCTCTGTCTGCTTCGTATCTTCCAAGGTGAGTCTTCAACTTCTTCTATTGTCCTAGTCTTATCAGCAGGTTGCATCTTCATTGAATAGAACTCAACAAGAAAGTGATATAAAGCAAACCCAATTTAAAAACAATTGTGATCGTCAACTATCCGTGTATAATTTGGAACTGGTAACGTAAATCCTTAATTTATCATTATAATTAGCTTCTCTAATCGATATTTCTTTCATACAATAATATTAAAAATTTCGCCCATATGATAGTGTATGAACAGCTGATTGTTACATTATGACAACTCATAACGTGGATGTGGTCATTCATACAATTATGGTGTATAATTTAATTTACCCGGTACACTATGGATCGCTTATAAATTCATTTATTTAATCAAAATTATTTTAATCATTTTTTTTATTTTTTATTGCATTGTATGAAAACCAGTCTCTTGAGTTTGTTATATCTCAGAAGTCGCGATAAAAATTAGTTACTCAATTCTAGTTTAATGCTATTTAATTTTTTAAAATATATATTAATAAAGAAACAGTAGTGGACCCAGTAATTATTTTTTTAATACGTGAGCAGAATTTTTAATTTTTTTAATAATGGTGATTAATTTGAAAGAAAATTAAAGATACCACATGAAATTGTTTTATTTTTTAAATTGGTTCTGAGTTATATTTCATTCTGTCTCAAATAAGAACATGTATAATAGCGATCTGAGAGCACATTCATACCTTAATTACAGAACACATAAATAAATAAATTAAGTAATATTAATATAATATATATAAATAAGAACAAAATAAAATAGTATAAAGAGGAAAAAAATAAAAATAAAATGCACTGTAGTTGACTGAGATATAAATAATTTTTGGTACAATATTTGTTATATACATGTATATAACAATACTTTTTTTAAACTTGCATTTAGTAGTTGTAATAATCACAAAAACAAATATGGACCAATAAAAAGAACATAAATTTTCTGTTTTCTGCTGTATAAATAAATCAACTAATATTTATCGTTTTCACATTTTTAAAAGTTATATTCTATTATTATTTTGGTGATAAATAAATAAATAATATCACATATATTATTTCGACAATAATAAAAAAAAAATTTGTCATATAAAATTGTAAGAACTAAATTTATTATTTCGAAATTTCATGAATAATTGTGTCAATTTAGACTAACGTGTATCAAATTCGTTTCCTACATTGTAAGAGTTTCATTCGTTAAATATTTGGCCATTTGTACAAAGAAAGTTCCTTTCTCCGGAACCGAGCGAGAGACAAACTTATGAAAGTGAACCAGCCGGGTAGCTTCTTCATGGAATGCATGGTATTTAAAGTACCGAATAATATATATATATTATATTATATATTACATATACGGTATATATTATTATATTTCGAACTTTATATATTTTTTAAGCTGATTTATTGAAAATTTGAATGAGATTCGTCCATTTTTTTTTAAATCGTATTTATTGCTTCTTTTTAAAAAATATTTATACATAGAGTAATATAAAATTATGTTACCTGGACAATAATTATAGTGAGATAAGACTACATTCACACTATAGGCGGTGTCCCGTAATTAAAGGGGAATTTTTGCAGGATTAATATCAGAATTTGAGAGCTACAAAAAAGTTTATATAAACAATGGGTCAATTTTCAGTGGAAAAGTAGGTATAATATATCCCAAAAATAAATAAAAGCTTTGCAACAATCAAATTGAGTATTTGTTCCTGAAAACAGATATACTTAGATCTGTCCAATACAAATCACATAATTTTTTTAAACAACTTGAGGTGAATCTCAGGTGTTTCCCAAATAAACTTCTAATTAATTAATATGGGCTCAAAGCTTATTAAACAAGGAAGTTTAACTAAAAGTGGGCTTATCTTTAGTATAGTCGGATAGTGGTAAAAAGAATTGCGGATAATTTGTGATTTTTTGAAAATCAGAACTTAGTTTAGCTGCTCAAAAGAGCTCTTTAAATAATTTTAACAGTGACACATTCTATTTTGATTTAAGATAATTTTGTCTAGTTTGCAGTGAATTAATAATTACTTAAATGAAATGGTTCTTTAGTTCTTTCTTCCTATTTAACAAAATTCATGACTGACTTAAAAAAAAAAAAATTCGTTCTTTTCTGCTGGAAATCGATTCATTGTTCATATATTTTTTTTTATAGCTCTCAAGGTCTGATTTCACTGCTATAAAAACTTCCTTCTACATACGAGACACCCTGTATATACAGAAAATATAAAATAAACAGAAGCTAAATGACAAATAAATACTGTTAATTATTGTTATATAAATCTGAAGAATTTGTTTGTTTGATCGAGCCAACTTCATCAAGATAAGAACTATCGGAATAGAATTAACTATAAATGTTCTTTAATCTTAAAAACTAAATTATAAATCTGAAAAATTGTAGGCATTGTTTCTCGAATTTAACGTTTACTGTCACCAAAGCGCAGGACCAATTTTTTTATCAGTTAGGATTCGACTTAAGTGAAGATTATGTTTTCCCCTCTCTAGATTGGGTTGATGGGAATATCAGAATCTACCTATTTCACAGGAAGAAATAACTAAATTTTTTCTGAAGTATGTACGGAAGTATATACTCTGAATGGTAGGTATCTGGATTGGGCTAAATCGGAAATATATGCTACATTAAGGTCGTTATGGATGATTTTATTTGTGACAAATTAAGGAGCATTGAGGATTTTACGATGGATTTTGGATTGTAAGGATTGGAAACGAGAGGAATTTGATGATTCAGTGGAGTTTCAAAGCTCGTCTATAACACATATGAAAATTAAGAAGGCTTTAAGTACAAGACTATAGGCAAGTTTCATTATTTCATTATAAAAGCCGTTTTAGCATTATATATTTAAGGGCATACCTTATTAACTATTTTTTTTTTTTTTTTGCTCTTAATCAAGTAAACTATTTCTGTCATTGCAGTCTAATAAACATCGGAGCATCGATCAGATTATTGATAATAATTCACTTAGTGATAACTGTGAAGTTATAGCTTATCAAAAATTTCTCATCTTTACGGTCCAGATAATGATCAGACGTTCATAAACCTTATCAAAGCCCATCTTTGTTAAGAAAGCATGACGACATGGCTGCGTGATCAATGACTAACCTCAGCCTCGCCGTGCAATGTAAATAAACCAAAATATTTTATGACGTGCGATAAGATCACGTATTCCGATCGAGGTACGTGACATTTTAGGCGTACTGGAGTAATCTGATTGAGTAATTCATGAATGAAATGCTAATTACGTTGGGTCAGTAATAACGCACCTGATGTTTATAATGCATCAGACATGTCTGAAACTTAATAAGTAGTACAAATAATCACAAAATAAAAAAATAAATATTTTTTTCATTTTGAACCTAAGAAACTCAAGTAATCCTTGCAAAACACTAATAGAAGGGTGAATAGACAAATTTTTTACGTAATCACTAATTGTCTTTCATCACAAAATCAAAACTTTCTTTTCGATATTAGTACGTGGATTTTAAAATTATCGGAATTTTATATTCTAAAACATTCCTTAAATTAATTTCTAACCACACGGCCATGTATAAAAGCTAAAAAGTAAGAGAGGGAATATTAAATAAAAATAAATATACTAGAATATAAGTGTCTTATAAATTTTAAATATTCTTGAACACTTCACCAAAATTATAAATTTATTAAAAATAAATAGGACAACAAAAATACGTCTAATGAATCATTTTAAGTTAAAAAAAAAACTAATATAAACTTCCATTTTCAGATCTTTATTATCAATCTCATTTCACAGCCATTATATTCTGCGCAATTACAATAATTGTTGAATAAAAATTTTACTAGAACATTTTTACATTATTCCAAAGCAGTACAAATACCCTTAAACTTTCAACCAAACAGTATGAGTCGGTTTTTTAGAGGGATACGTGGATAGGAAAATACTTTTGTCTATCTCAGAGCGAAAATGGGGGATGGAATTTGATAAGATTGATACTGGATCAGTTTTTACGTAAGTAAGTAAAGTTGATGATGAAAATTAAAGAAATTCATTTATATATATATATATATATATATATATATATATATATATATATATATATATATATATATATTTTCTACAACCCATGAAAACTTCCCCAAAATCGGATTAAAACTATTAGATGATATGCACTTCGCATAGATTTGACAGCATAGAGTTATTGTAGAAGTTATTGTTGAGAAATGTTCCTTATTTTATCTGCCTATATGTGATATTGGGTTTTATTCTGTCCTGATGGTGCATGATTTTGAGGGGCTAATTTGTTTTTACCTAAATTTGACAAAAGGCTATATGACATCATAAATATATACATCCAATTTAGTCAAATGTTTCATTAAGGGGTAGAAGGTGTTATTTATTTTTATTTTGTTATAAAAGATCTAATTTTTATTTACAATGAGCCAACTTTTGCATTGGACACTTGACGCAAACACAATCATGGAAAATTTTCGAACTTCAAATGACTCAAAATTTCATATTTTTAAGGAAAAAGTAAATAAAACGAGGTGTTTGAGTCATTAAGGTACATTACATTAAAAATACATCAGAGATCCTGCAGTTAATGTTACATGCTAGTAAAACCGTTACAAATCCTGTTAGCGGATGCAATCCATTACAGTATATTGTAACTGTATGAATACTAACATACTGTAAAAAATATTATATTAATATGAATAAAAAAAATTAATAAAAATATCTCTAGCGAATCCTAACTTATTCAAAACTCAGTGGTGTAGAAACGTAAACCAAGATTGCATGTACAGCTAATAGGAGAAGCGCATAATGGATTAAATATAACGGTCGGGATATAAGTTGTCTGATTTTTAAGTTTCACAGATCAAATTATTCACTGAGATCCTTAATTAAATAACTTGGTATACCACAGTGAGAACTCTCACATTTGATAACTATCCCTCAATGTAATGCATTCGACGCATAAGCATTTCC